AAATTAAATAATATAAGTTTAAGAGCTAAGAATTTCAAAAGATTAATATTTTTATTAATCAATCAATTAAATAACATATGTTGAAATTTTTACAATCATTATTAAAAAACACTTGAAATATTAGATTTTAAGTGAATTTGGTTGAAATGTTTTGACCTTTTATATATATATATATATATATATATATATATATATATATATATATATATATATATATATATTATATATATATATAAGAGAACCATAATTATGGGTTCTTCAAGGAACCAAATCTTTTTTTCAATTTCTAAAGCTTATTCTTTATCGAAAAAAAAAAGACTAAAAATATCTAAATTCATATATTAACATTGTGAATGTGAAAAATATTTTTCGGATTCACCGTGTGAATCCAGATTCATGTTGTGAATTTTCGAAGATTCAAATTGTGAATTTGACGTTAAAAAAATCGAATTTTATATCATTGGAAAAAGGATAAAAAGTTATGAATTTCTGTATTTTTAGTTTTTTTTTTTTTAAAATAAGTTATAAAAATTGAAAAAAAGATTAGTTCCTTGGTACCTTGATTAATTGTGGTTCTCTATTGAACATCACCATATATATATACTATATATATATATATATATATATATAATATATATATATATATATATATATATAATATTGAAATTATAACATATGTATGAGTTTTAATTAATTATCTTTTTGAAACGGTACAAACAAAAACATATTTAAAATATTTAGTTAAATATTTTCGATATCACCTTATATAACATATGATCAATATATTAAACCACAATATACAACGACTGTATTACAACAATCCAAAAATGAAAAAAATATAAAAACGAATTAGTATAACAAACTTACAAATTAAAAGCTCTAATATAATAACATATCTTCAAAAGTGGTCATAAGACCTCAACCCAACACTTTTTGAAATTTGTATATGATTTTTATGTCTTCTCAAAAGATTGATCTTTTTATAATAAGGTTTTCACTAAATGCTAATTAAAACATAATATAAGTTATAAAACTTTTGAGTGTTAAATTATAATTAAGACAACTTTTGAGTTACGTTAGTTACTTCAAATGAATATGGTTTGAAACTAGTGTGTATATTTCTAAACCATCTTAAGACTTCAAAGGTGGGTTTGCTCCAGCCGCCTATTCTTTTAACTTATACTGCATCACCTGCTTGCCTTCTTCACACCACCGCCTCAACAGCTGCTAAGTCACTCTCTCTTTTCCAACGCTGTTCATCTTTGCCGCCACCTACTACTTCGTTTTGCGTCCCCATGTGACCGCCTTATGTTTCCCATTTATCTTTATCCTCTTTCTTTTGGCGACTAATCCCCCTTTTGCTCCAAACACCGTCGATGGTCTCGCACCTTTTCATTGTATGCTTGAGACGGAGGTCTGGGATAGCTGACGTCCCTCTTTCATATCCGAGAGCAGGATGCACTCACGTGCCCCCTTTTCCGCCACAACGGGATGAGCCACATTCTCCTTCCTTTATACGTGAATTGAAAAATACAAATTTTGTTTTACCTAGGGATAGATTGCGCGACGTAACAATTTAGGCCAACTACATCATCGAAGTCTTGGTTAGCCAATAACACCGGTTACCACCTTATCAATAACTATACATTTGTGTTTTCCTTTTAATCGAAGAATCGAGTTTGAATTGCAGCTTTTGTTTAATAGATTTGAAGTTCTTCCACTGAGCATTCTCTGATCTTATCTACAACTCTTAGGTTGTAAATATTACTGGATGGCGCGACGATCTTTGGCTTTCCTTCTTTTTATCACCCTTCTAACTAATCATTTTTTTTTAATTAGGGAATCTCGATTGATACCCCAATGATCGATCAAAGAAAAAGGTTGGTGTCGTCTATGGTGTTATTAGTTATCTCAATAATCCCTACATCCGTTAAAGATCGCATGCGTCCTAACAACATAGTACACCTGAATCTAATTTTCCCTGTTTAACTCATATTTGCAGTTGTGTTTACCACTACCTATGATTTCTCTGACAGATTAGAAGTCGTTCAATTTTCCCTTCTGAAGATTGAACAAGAGGTGATTCGATCTCTTTTCCTTTCATTGAACATGTATTCATCCATCGTCTTCAATTCTTTTTGGCTCGATTACTATCTGTATTTCTAATTTCCATCACCGATTAGAAGTCATTTGATTTCCCATTCTAAAGATTGAGCAAGAAGTGATACACTCTATTTTCCTTTTTTTTTTGCACGGGTATTCATCCTTTGTCTTCAATTCTTAATTTGGTTATGAAATTGATGGCTTCTCATCATTACATTTATTGATTCTATAGTAGATTCTTGTGGGTAATACATGTCAAGTAACTCTATTTTTAATTGTTAATAGCACATGCCACCTGTTTGATGAACGTCCTCAATAAATAAGTGGTCTTACACTAAATTTATAAAGTGTTCACCAAATGTATAATAGTAATTATCATGTATAAAAGAGTGGTTTCCGATAGGATGACACGAATGAGTCTGCTGCCCACACAAATTATAGGTATTTTATGATAATATACTTATTAATTTATATTTCTAAATTAGAGAGGATCATCCAGTTTTATGTTGATGTTCTATTTTTATTGACACCCTTCTATTTTTTTTAACTATTGCATTTCTTTAATTGACACTCTTCTGTTTAACTTTTGTATTTTTTTTTAATCCTCCACTTTTCTTGTTTTATTTATGTTTTTAATATCTTTTACAATTTCATTATAATTTTGTGGTTAACATGTCTACAACATGATTGTTATTCAGGTATATGACGTGAACATTAATCTTTATCAGATAATTTATGACATAGATATTATCCATCAAATGGTGGTCAGGCTGGTAAGTTTTCTCATTTTTATTTTAATAAAAAGTGATGTAAACTTTTCTTTGTTTTATACTAATGCAGTTATAATCACATGAAAGAAAAATAGACGTTTTGAGGGAATTGTTTGATTGTAAATCTATATACACAAAATTTGCATCTCTTAAATACTTGCTTTTTGCCTACCAGATATGACAAATTCAAGGTTTTACGGTTGCTTTTAAGTAGCTGTAGGATCATGGATGGGATAAATGCAAAGCTTTAACTCAAAATTATTTCACCTTTTAAGTTAATCAGAAAATAATCGATTTTTTCCTTCTTCAATATGTTTATAAATGAATGCTAACTCATGTTAACTTTAGTGTGTCTAATTATAAAAGTCTAGCTACGTATTTTACAATAGTTGAGACAAAGAAACATTTAAATGAACATGTCATCTTTTCCTAAGTGAATTATGGCTATAAGTTTACTATGTTATCTACCAGAAAAGCTAAAGGTGTTGTGGTACCGAACTATGTGAGAAACTTTGACTATAACGATTTAGAATGTAATTAGTTGTATAAAATGGAGTGACATATTTATTGAATGTTTTATGTGTTTTTTCCTCACATTTGTACTTTTAGGTCTTCTCAACCACTTTATTGGCTTTATTTATTACATTGTGGGACCTCTACCCACAAATTCTCGACCTTGCTTATAGTTCTTTTTAGTATATTGGCTGTAGGGTGAGGTAGTTGTAGCAGGTCGTGAGTTAATTAGAAGTTATGAAGGCCTCTATTTGCTCCAAAGGAATTCCAAGCAAAACATTTCTGTTTTGCACAACACTTCCATGGATACAATGAATTATGTTGTTAAGTTCCATGAACTGGGTTGAATGCAAGAAATGACAACATACTTTTGTTTTATTCCTTTTTACCCCTACTGGCCTAATAGGTTGCAAATGACTGTGATATACAACCAGTGGCATATGAATTTTTCACCTAAGCATATATATTATGCGAATAATTAACTTTTGTGGATTACAATTTTTATGTTAATCTAGATCTTTTGGGTCAAATGGCTATTGCATGAAGGAAAGTAATGCACTTTCATTGTTTATTATAGCATCTAAAATTTTGATGTTTTCATATTGTTTGTGTTCTTATGTGTATTTTCTTTCATGACTACATATCACGACCTCTAACTCAAGTTACCATGGCTCCCACATTAATGGTATGTTATATGTTGGATCTGTACATATATTTTAACCATTTTGTGATTTTTATACAATCAATTTCTTTATTTGATAACATTATTTTTGTAGAACTGACAATGACACTTTGATCTTAGGCTATACCTAAAATGGCTCTTGGTTCATTGAAAGTTTTTAAAGAAACACGGACTCGAGAATATATTAGGTAAACATAGTAGAGAACGGAAAGATGGATTTTTAGGGGCAAGCCTATGGCTTCCAAATTCAGGATGAACAAAGGTTTTTTTTCACTCTTCTTTTTCCTACTGATTGTTAGTTTTTATAAAAAATTATTAGAATTTGGTTGCACTTCTGGCATTAAATAGAAGCACTAAGAAAATACACGGAGCAATACTTAAAAGAATTTTATGAAGAATGGACAAGGAAAGCTTGAAACAAGATGTATCTACTAAGCTATAAAGAAAAAAAAATGTAATTTGTATTACTATTAATGATATCTACCAAAATTAAACACATATCAATGTATCTACTAAGCTATAAAGAAAAAAAAATGTAATTTGTATCACTATTAATGTAATTTGTATTACTATTAATGATATCTACCAAAAAAAAAAAAAAAAATATAACACATATCATCATTTGATATGGGTAGAAGAATAGTAAAAAGAAATTGTAGGAGGATATTTAGAATTTTGATCCAAATCCATCACACATTAACGTGAAAGACATCTTGTAAGTTACATTATATATATTATATATGGTTTAATTTTGAAGCCCCTTAATATCAGTTCTTGGATATGATTGGCTTTTTTTTGTGGGCTTTTTTTTTAATCTTTTTTCTTTTTTTGTTCATAGTGGTTTCCACGTGTTATATGTTCAGAAAACTCACCGCACCACTTCCAACTCTGTGTCTACCATCTACACATAAACCATTTTCTTGATGTTTCCTCCACCGCCTCAGTCTCTCCTGCTCTTCTTTTCACAGCTTTGTTCTTATTTTCTTCCACCGACTCTTTGTGTTTTTGACTGATGTTTTGATAACTATTGTTATTATGTAATAATTAAAAATGAAATATTTGGTCATGAATTTTGCGATGTTTAATATTGCCAAGGCGTCGTACCGATTGGTACCACCTGAGACCATGAGCTGCTAGGCAAGCAATTCATTCACCTGAGCAGTTCTCCGTGGGTAGCACCGATTCTATTTATCAAGAAGAATGATGGTTCAAACCGAATGTGCATCGATTATTGGCAGTTGAACAAGTTAACGGTGAAAAATCGTTATCCTCTTCCGCAGATTGATGATCTTTTTATCAGTTGCAAGGAGCATCTAAGATAGATCCGAGGTCTTGGTACCATCAGTTCAGGGTGAGGGAGGAGGATGAGGAGAAGACCGCATTCCGGACTCGTTATGGGCATTACGAGTTCGTGGTGATGTCATTTGTGCTCACCAATGCACCTGTAATATTTATGGATTTGATGAATCGGGTATGCAGGTCGATGCTCGATCATACGGTTATCATGTTCCTTGATGATATCTTGGTATATTCCTATAACCGAGAGCATCATGAAGAGTATATTCGCGAGCTTCTGGGGGTTTTGAGGCGAGAACGACTATATGCTAAGTTCTCGAAATGTGAGTTTTGGTTGCGAGAAGTTCAGTTCCTTGGACACTTCATTAATTAGGATGAGATTTTGGGAACCGGCCAAAATCGATGCAGTGGGAGGTTCCGAAATCATCTTCGGATATCAGAAGTTTTAATATATATATATATATATATATATATATATATATATATATATATATATATATATATATCTTATAATAGAGGCATTCTCTAAGCACTACATTGATTTGAAACTTATGTTTTTTCATATTTCTTTGTAATAATGATTTTTAATTACTATTAAAGAGTTTTATACTTAATGGTACTTATAACACTAACTGATTAATCTTGGTATATATGTATAGTTCTCATTGATAGATTATTTTGGTAGGATTTAAAAAAATTTGGGTGATTGTATGGTAGATTGGAAGCTTCAAACAAAATGATGCATGTGAAGAAAACAAATTTTTTTAAGGTCTATTTTTATATTATGCATGTTCGTCTTTTGAAGAAAAATATTGATTTGTTTTATTTAATGTTTTAACATGATTTTTCTTTTACATGTAATATTGTCTTATATATGAAAAAAGTAAGCAGAATATGATTTTTTTTCATTGTATGACAACTAACCGATGATGAACAAATCCGAGCACAATAACAGAAGACTATTTCATTATGTTTGGAAAATAACTTAAGATGGATTTCTTTCTCTTTTCCAAAAAGATCAACACAATAAGCAAAATAGGTAAGAAAGACTTCGTAATGATGGGTTATCTAAGTTATTGGTGATTAAAATGTTTTTGTGTATATATATATATATATATATATATATATATATATATATATATATATATATATATATATATATAACCATTTGTAACATCACATTTATAGCATATTTTTATTATTATTTTGAGCTATTATAATTGTTTATAAAGATTAGACTTATGCATGTTATTATTTAAATATTTACACATTCAAGAGTTTTTAACATATGGTTTTTAATATGTGATGTGTTTTTATTTTCCTCTTATCTACACACAGTATAAATATATTAGTAGTATGCAAGTAAGTTGTGATAGAAAAAATCATGTGTTTGAAGAGATTTGTGATTTTAAATATTTAGTATCGAAAAAATGAGTTTTATCGCATCAATGGTTATTACAACACGATTTGTTTTAGGGGATAATAATGTTTATGTATACCAAATGTATGTTGATTTCTATAAATTTTTGTATGATTTATAAGGGTTTAATAGGCTTTGTTGATATAAATGTTATAGTAGACGTTGTAGAGGTTTTATATAATTAAAAGTTATAGTTGTTTTTCATACTATTTGTTATTCGTTATATTATATATATTATCATGCATTTTTATACAATCTACACAATTAATACGTTTGATATAAAATTTACACAACTTAAAAGGTTTATAAAATTATTAAATTTATTGTAGAAAAACCAATCATGGTAACTACATGTTTTGTTTTGCTACTAACATTGGTTTTTCATATATAAATAATAAATTAAAGTTTGTTAAAAGTTATTATTTTAATTAAATAATTAAAGTTTGTTTTGCTACTAACATTCGCTCTATATATATATATATATATATATATATATATATATATATATATATATATATATATATATATATGGGTTAGTGAATATGTGGCTGTGTAAGATTACATATAGAACCTACTAAAACTACATACTTTTAACTAAAATTTCGTTTAAAACTTTTTTAAATTTGATGCGTATTATATTTTCCATAATTTACGTCAAATTTCTCAAGCGTAACATGGTTAATTTTGATCAATTCCCTTTAATAAAATATAATGCATATCTCTCATGTCGACAATTGGTACAGTAATTTCCATCGTCTTACGCTGATTAATGTATGTTTCTTTCTTTTTGTTATTTATCCAGTGTCAATATTTATGAACACAAAATTGCTCATGTCAGTTTAAGATGGAATTGAAAAAAGATTATGATAAAGCTGCAAAGTAAGAGTAATCATTTGAAATAAATTATTGAGGAAAATCGATAGAATTGGAGATAACCGATAGACTGGGAAATATATTACATTTAAAATTAAATATTTGTATTTAAATCGTCAAAACAACGTAGTATTGGAAGTTCTATACCTAATGATATATACATGACATCCACATATTCACTTTTCCCATATATATATATATATATATATATATATATATATATATATATATATATATATATATATATATATATATATATATATATATATATATATATATATTATATATATATATATATATATGTTTGAAGAGATTTGTGATTTTAAATATTTAGTATCGAAAAAATGAGTTTTATCGCATCAATGGTTATTACAACACGATTTGTTTTAGGGGATAATAATGTTTATGTATACCAAATGTATGTTGATTTCTATAAATTTTTGTATGATTTATAAGGGTTTAATAGGCTTTGTTGATATAAATGTTATAGTAGACGTTGTAGAGGTTTTATATAATTAAAAGTTATAGTTGTTTTTCATACTATTTGTTATTCGTTATATTATATATATTATCATGCATTTTTATACAATCTACTATAACATTTATATCAACAAAGCCTATTAAACATGATAGAAAAAATCATGTGTTTGAAGAGATTTGTGATTTTAAATATTTAGTATCGAAAAAATGAGTTTTATCGCATCAATGGTTATTACAACACGATTTGTTTTAGGGGATAATAATGTTTATGTATACCAAATGTATGTTGATTTCTATAAATTTTTGTATGATTTATAAGGGTTTAATAGGCTTTGTTGATATAAATGTTATAGTAGACGTTGTAGAGGTTTTATATAATTAAAAGTTATAGTTGTTTTTCATACTATTTGTTATTCGTTATATTATATATATTATCATGCATTTTTATACAATCTACACAATTAATACGTTTGATATAAAATTTACACAACTTAAAAGGTTTATAAAATTATTAAATTTATTGTAGAAAAACCAATCATGGTAACTACATGTTTTGTTTTGCTACTAACATTGGTTTTTCATATATAAATAATAAA